ATTTCTGGAGTGTGCAGCTAACGTTTTTTCAGACCCAGCCCTCTACCAGTTAATGTTTTATTAACCTTTCTCTGCTCCTTCAGGGTTCAGAAAAGGGATATACATATTATTATTTAGTTGGCTAGCCTTCTATGACTTCCACAGGTGCTGTCTGGGCTGAACTGCCTGGTGGAGTGCATATGCCCGTGGCTGCTGCTACTAGTAATTGCTGGTTGTTTCCTTACCACACTCCAAGATTTACAGTGGTAGAATGTGAGCTGGAAAGTGTCCCAGGGATCATTAGGCCTTCCTTCTTTCATAGAAAGGTAAACTGAGGCTCAAGAGGAACAGTGATTTGTTCAGTCACAAGATAAGTGAGTGCTAAAACAGTTCTGTGGTTTGAGACCAGTGGTTCCGCCAGAGTAACCCAGCAGGCAGCCATTGACCTCCTGCCCCTGCCTTTCCTTGACTGGATCAGGGCAGCACTGCCCAGAGGTGGGGGTGGGGAGGGGATGGCTGGGGCAGGAAGCCGGGCATTTCTTACGTGTTGACATGTATTTATTTGCAGCCTCCTCCAAAACTGCCCAGTGGAGTATTCAGTCTGGAATTTCAAGATTTTGTGAATAAATGGTAAGTCAGCTCCTTGTTCTCTGGATGAGTACCCTGGTTTTGTCAGGCTCCCCATCTCAACTTGGGGAGCATGGCTTTGCCCTTTTCCCTCTCCTGCGATCCCTTCAACTGCTGCCGTTTTTCTAGACTTAGGTGGCCTGCCTGACAACAGCAGTGGGTAAAATAGCAGCTGCTTTCGGCACTTGGTCTACAGGGATTGGCATATTGCCTTTTAACTTAGTTCGCAAGCATTTAACCTACTGTGGGCATGACCTTGTGCTAAGAACAGGAAGGTGAATGAGGCTCAGGCACTCCTCAGTGTGTATAGGGTGTGGGGAGGGCAGTCAGGCAAACAGAAGTAATTGGAGTTAGAACCAGCTCCTAGCAATAGTTTCACACTGTCTTTCTTCCTTTAAGCTTAATAAAAAATCCTGCAGAGAGGGCCGACTTGAAGCAGCTCATGGTAAGTCCATTTATTTCAGAGTCTTCCAGTTTAAACCTGTCAAGTCATCCATCCAGTACTTCTTGAGCCCATTCCCTGCTCTGCCTGGACCACTGCGGTCCAGGGGACCCTGCAGCTGCAGGATACCAGCTTCAGCCTCCTCTGTCCTCCCATCAGTTTAAAGGAAAAGCTGGGGTGGCCCTGCAGCTCGAGGGGTCCAGGGAAAGAGCCAGCCCACCCTTTTACGGGGACAGGGACTTTTCCTAATACTGACAGGCTCACCTTCCGTTCAGCACCCTCCCCAAGCTACTCTCTACTTGCCTCCTCTCGTCTGGTGGCAGTAATAGGGGGAGGAGCTGGGAAGGAATACTGTAAGTATCTGAGCTCACATGCCTTGTAGAGCCTGTACGGAATAACACACTTCCAAGTCCATCATTTCCTTTGTTCCTTCTGACTACCCTGTGGGGCATTGAAGGCAGAGCTACTGTCCCCATTCAGAGTGTGACAGCAGGCCCGCTGTGAGTTGCCCCAGGCCTCACACTCTGTGTGCTGGTGGAGCCTGGCAGAGTGGCTTCTGCTGCAGCTGCCTGCTTCCCTGGCCCCACTGCTGCTCAAGGGCAGGCTCCAGGAACTCCTTCCAAGTGTGGCCCAAGCTCTAGACCCACCAGGACTCTTGAGTTTTCCTTCTTGGTAGTTTTTTTTTTAACACCACTTCCTCTCCATTTCCTCACATGCAGGTTCATGCTTTTATCAAGAGATCTGATGCTGAGGAAGTGGATTTTGCTGGTTGGCTCTGCTCTACCATTGGCCTTAACCAGCCTAGCACACCAACCCATGCGGCTGGTGTCTAAGCATTTGAAAAACAGCAAAGAGCAGGTCCCCTGCCCAGTGGCGTGCCATGTTGCTTTCGGGCCTCGTTCCCATGCCTGTCTCTGTTCACATGTGCATTTATTTCACCTATGACAAAGGATGAAGAACACAGCATGTGCCAAAATTCTATTCGTGTCACTTTTAGTATTACTGTATTCTTGTTACTATTGTTATTCCCCTAAGTGGATTGGCTTTGTGCTTGGGGCTATTTTTGTGTATGTCAATGATCAAAACATGCGCAACTTTGAATTACAGTGAAACTTTGGTGACTGTGGGTTGTCATTCTTACTGAAAATTGTACTGCTTTCCTCACCATCACTGGCTGGCCGCCTGTATTTTGGGGATTTTTTGACACTTGGTGGTACTTCCTTCTTGCAGGACCTACCTTCTTTCTACTTGAGGAAGGAGCCCTGTAAGATCCTTCACAGGCAGTGCATGTGAAGCATGCTTTGCTGCTATGAAAACGAGCATCAGAAAATGTATACCATGTTATTTTATTATGTTTTTGCTTTTGGTGTAGAATTCAGCAATTTCCATCAAAATCTAGCCAGAGCCCTGCACTGCCATGATAATTGGGGCTTCACCAGTCTGTCTACTTTGATGATTTGTAGACTTCTGGTTGTATTTCTATATTTATTTTTAAATATACTGTGTGGGATACTTAGTGGTATGTCTCTTTAAGTTTGGACTAGTGTTTCTAAAATGGAGTTACTTTGAATGTTACAAATGGATCAAGGCATTAAAATGTATGAGATTTATCTTTCCCCAATCCAAGTACTGACGCTATTGTAAACAACAGTGTGTATAGTGCCTAAAAATTGTATGAAAATCCTTTTAACCATTTTAATTCAGATGTTTAACAAATAATCTCTTATTCTAATAAATACACTTATCAAGTTAAAAGATATTTCTACTTTTGTTGTTCAATGTCTCTAGTACACCAGAAATCAGATGAGTTAGCCAAGCATTACTGTGAGGAGAAAGATAAAGACAGGAGAGAGGCTGGGAGGTGGAATGCCACCCTGAGGATAAGTTCAGTGCTTTGGACTAATGGGGCTTCCTGTAATTCCAATCTTTGGACTTTGGTCTCCATTCTCAGCAGACACCCTTATCTGTGAATCTTCCAACCCCTCTTCCTGTGGATTGATCCCATCTACTATTCCTTCCATCTCTTTATAGACGGGAAAAGCATTTGGCAGGGGCTGGCATGCTCACAGGAGCGCCTTGCTGGTGACCATGGTGTCTGGGTTCACATTGGAGCCGTCACCCGGTATGGTCTGTCCATGCTGTTCTGTTTCACTGAGCAATGGTTTCCCCTTTCACCAGTTATACTTAACTACACCCTTCTGGAGAGCAGGAATGTGCCTGACGCTAGCTTTGTCACGCCTGCAGGGAGGTCACAGAAAACAAAGCCATATCCCAGCTGGACACTGGTACCCTTTCCTTCTTTGAAAATTGACTTTTGGAACTTGAGGTACATGTGAGGTGGCCTGGTCAGCGCCTCTTCTCCCATTTTCTTCTTTGAGAGGGCAGGTTATAGAAAGTCAAAGTAAATACATATTTTAAAATAAAAGGCCTATTTTGTTTTAAAATTAAAAACAGAACTTGGGGCCGGCCGAGTGGCGCGATGGTTAAGAACTGGCTTGGGACGCCAGAGGGCCCCGGTTCGGATCCCACATATGAGGGCCAGTGACACTGCCCTCCACAGCTAAGATGCTGAACAACAGCTCAACCTGGAGCTGGGCTGCCGTGAGTCGCCAGCAACGGCGTAGGCTGCAGTCTGTGTGGCAGTGGGTTGCCATGGGCTACCGTGTGTAGCCAGCAGCCAGCGTGAGCGGCCAGCAGCCGCAGTGAGCGGCCGTCCAGAAGCCGGCGACTGATCTACCTCACCTGGGAAGAGCGCAATGATGGTGCCAACTTGGGCCAGTGAAGCAACGTCCTCCACAACTAGATTGAAGAACAAGACGACAGCAACTTGTCTGTTCCCCTTCCCCCAATTCCCCAGTACTGTTCCCATCCCCCAATTCCCCAATAAAAATCTTTAAAAAAAAAACAGAACTTGGGTAAACCTTCTGATCAGGTAGTTCCACTCTGAATCTACCAGAGTTTGAAATACGGCCAAAATTTTAAAAACTGGTCAGTGTGTATACTGCTGCCTCAGCTAGTTGTCAATCATTTTTTTTGTTGCTGTTAGGCTAATATCTGTTCCAAGTCAACAGTGTAACTTACACATTTTTGACATACATTCAGGTTGTGGTTTAAGACCCACAGCCTCCTCAGACTGTGTCTTTTGCTAACAGAGAAGATGCCACCACTACTGTAAATGTCTCATTTAAACTTGCAAACTGCACCTGAGGAGGAAGGAATGGTGTAACCTGGAGTCTACAGTCTGAATCTGAACGCTTTCAAGCTCAGTATTTTTTGAGGAGTGTTTTTAAATTCCCTGTTCACATCTAAAACATTTTTTGAGAGGCAAAAGGTTTTTTCCCAGTAACTACTAAGAATGATCTCATTCTCAAGAAGGATAATGTTCCCTGCATCAGTCTCTTTTGAGTTCCCCATGCCAAATTCCTTCCTCAAACTTCTGAGACACCAGCAGTAGTTGGATTTTTCAATGCTATATGTCATTAGCACCTCAAAGTAACCTGTAAAAATTGCAAGAGCAGATATGAATGCTCTCATTTTCAGATAAGTGAGAGAGAGAGGAAAGAGCAAGCGATCAGTAATGGCAGAGCTAGAATTCCTAGCCAATTTTCTAGCTCTTAAAAACTCATGCTTATATTTTAAATTAGACCCCCGAAATGTATACCTTGATGCTTTTCATTACAAAACAATCTTTACATTGTGTTTTCCAAGAAACATGCTCATTTACACTTTCAGCTATTTCCTGTAAGAGTAGCTCAAAATAACTTTAATGAAACGATGATTAACAGATATATCTATGTTCTCTCTTCTGGAACAGTTACATAAGTTCTGCTTCAAAAGGTTCTTTGTATTTTGTTTGGTTTTCTGTTACTTGGACAGAGCAAATTGCTTTTATAAAGTTAAGCAACTACTTAACTGTATATTCAGTGAGAAAGACAGTAAGCAGAAATGAATCTCACCTTCAAATACCAAGTTTTATTCTGTAACTGTCATCTCTTTATTATAAAAATCCAGTTTCCCAACCATAGTTATTCCTTCTTTAAAGGCACATTTTCTAAGTCCAGAAATGGGTTTTCAACCATCCTGCTGTACTGTTTTCCCCAGAGGAGGAACTGACTCATTTCCCTGTTGCTATCTGGAAACCAGCAAACTGCATAAAGGCGATTTATCGAATTTATTTCTAAGCACATTTTAACCATAGTGATGTCTCAACCTAGATGTGATGACAGCCACACAAAGCAGTCTATAGTGGGCAGTGTGTCGTGATGTCACTGAGAGGTGGCAACAGCTGGTGCTCTCAAGTGGTTCTCTGTCCGCATCATCTTTCTCTCCTAGACTGTGGCTCTGCTTACAAGGGTTCAATGGTATGCAAACAGCCTTTAATTGGTTTTCTTAAAAGAGGCATTGTTGATTGGAAAGGCTGACTTGTATTTACACTCTGCCCTTTTTGCAAATGCCAGACTTTCTCAATAGCATTTCAGAGGAAATTTTCTGTTTGGAACACAATTACTGCCTCTGACCAGAATACAGACACAGCACCACCCATATTGCTCAATGCTCAGACACTGCATCTTTGCTTTTCTATGTCACTGATTCTTGTTACAGCATTATGAAACTTGAATTATTGTTGGAACCATTTTTACAAGTACACATCCTCCTCAAGTTCTTGCTTCCTTTTAAAGTAGGCCATAAGGCCCATGGCAAGAATTCTTTGAAGAGAGCAAGTTCCTGACACTTAGAAATTTGTGTAACTAACCCTGGCTGTTTTCCCCCTTCAGGAATCTGATTCTTCCTCCTCCTCCTCCTCCTCCTCTTCTGGCACATGGCTCCTTGTGCTCAACTCCAGGGTAGTTTGGTTGATTGATGCTTCATTGTCTACATGCACCAGCATCTGTTTTGCCAAGGACATTATGGATTAGTAGGAAGGACACTGGCCTTAAAACAGCAAATTCTTAAAAATGTTTTAAAACCAAATCTCAGTTGCATATTCATTCCCAATATTTACTACCGAGAGGTATGGCCACTTTCCTATTTCACCAAGTTCTACCCCAGTAAACCTCAACTGCCAAAATGAGAAGGTAAATGACCTAGATTTGGTAGAATGCTACCTTATTTACGAATATGGTTCTTACATAAGAATTATGGTGGTTTAGATGTGCTGCTTTCAAATGGGTCTAAATGGCTTCACACACATCTGGGAGAAGCACTATTCAAATAAGGTGTATTTAGAAAGATGATGATTTTACTGATTTACATGAGGGTATGTGGTAAGAGGACATCATGATGAAAACTAGAACTCAATTTTTGCACTATGCTTTGTAGTTGAAGCTACACTCTATTTTCGAACCCCAAACTTAATTATTCACAGAACAGTAAGAGTTTTACATGTCCCTGCAAAGAGCTTCACACTCTCCTTGTGTTCATTAGAGTAACTAGAGAGGATAGATGACTAGGATGGTGGAGGTAATATAACAGTACCTAATTAATAAGCCAATCAAAGTGTAACCAGCTGGTAAAAAGGTGGGCTGTTCCCTGTCTAAAACAGTATCATGGAATAGCCAGTTTATCAAACTAGAAAATTCTTAACAGCACTTCCCAGAAACTTTTGGGCTCAATAATGTAATTTACAACAGTTTTTGATCTCCAAGCAGCATGAAAATACAATAGAATGGACTTTGTATTCCCTCCCTAGATCCACACTTGATTGAGCTTACATCATGTGACTGTTCAGGTGCAGGCTGAGAAGACAGCGTTTCATCCCCTCTTCTGGAACTAATCATTGATTGGAGGGCCAGTTCTTCGACCTAGAAATGAGTTAAGGACATTTTCCTTACTATTTCACTGGGATACTGATGTGGGAAAATTTACTGTCCACGTTGTAAAAGGTTGGCATCATGAGGGGAAGTGAAAACTGTAATCTCGGTGCAGCTCTAGAGGAAAGGGTGGGACTCTTAAGCTTTCCCCCCTTTAGAGGAAATGAGCAAAGAAAGCCTCCAGCCCCTTCCCCCTGGGGTGTACAAGAATTCCAGCTGAGCCAAGGATTCCACTCCCCCAGACCTAGCAGCTCCGGGCAGAAAACACAAGTATGTCTTTTAAAAAGCCAGGTGTCATCTTTTGATTCCACAGAGGGCAGATTCCCAAGACTTGAGCTTGTCTACCTGGTAATGAAAAATTGAAAGTAAGGCTGGCCGAGTGGCTGAGTTAGTTAAGAGTTGGCTTGAGAACGCGAGCGCTGAGCAACACAGCTGCCGGTTCGATTCCCACATGGGCCAGTGATGCTGCACCTGAGCTGAACTGTCACTGAACTGCCAACAGGGCAGGATGGCTCAGCTGGTGTAACAACATGACTGCCTGTTCCATGGTGGGCTATGCCCACCACAACTAAGACTGAACTTGGCACCTTGAGTGGAGCTGTTGCTGGGATGGCTCAATGGATAGAACGTGCGCTCTTAACAACAAGGCTGCTGGTTCGACTCCCTCATGGGATGGTGGCTACGCGCACCCGCAACTAAGATTGAACACAGCACCTTGAGCTTAGAGGCCACGAGCTGCCGATGGGAAGCCAGATGGCGACTGGCGCCCTCCACAACGAAGATTGAACAACTTGGCTGGTCCCCTTCCCCAATCCCCCAATAAAATCTTAAAAAAGAAAAAGAAAAACTGAAAGCAGGAAGAATGGGAAATGGAAGTGTTTCCAGGAGATAAAGTAATCTAGGCTTTAAAGGTCATCATCAACACACACATTAGCTATCTGGCTATCTGTAAAGGTAATTTGGTGCTATGAGAACATAAATGTCAGCCATTCACAACTGTCTTGACGAAAAGCTGTACAATGCTTTTCGGTTTACAAAGGGCTTTAAAACCCTCATCTCATTTGGACACATCCTGAAGAAGGGTGCTGAGCAGGGGTTATCATCGCACAAGGAAGTGGTCCTGGTGGGCCTAAATCTCCACTGCCTGTCAAGGTCGTGGAGTCAGTAACCGCTCAGGGAAGAAAAGCTACTGGAAACTCTGCGACAAGTCTCTTCTCTCGGGCCTTTCTTCGCAAAACGGGAGAATGTGTGACTCTTCTAGCTTTGCAATACTAAGGCGGCAACACAAGCTAGGAAACAGTGGCCAGTAAATGCTGTAGGAGCTCATGAAGAAGAGGTCGGTGGGCGGGGGAAGGTCGAGGCGAGCCTTACGGAGCTCGCATTTCCTCAGCTTATGGCGTGGGAGGCAGGTGCATTTCTCGGGTGTCGGGTATGGGAGTGAACTCGGCAAACGTGCAGACTGCTGGGCCTCAACGTAGACCTGCAGGATCAAGATTCTAAAGCGGGCCCATGATCTCAAACAAGCTCCTGAGGGGCTTGTAAGCCACCAGATCAGCACCCCGACGGCCAGGTAAGGGAGGAATCACCCGCAGTAGCGGGACGCCGCAAACGCCAGGGGTTAGCGTAGAGCCAGGCGGCCTGGGTTAGGGGCAGCGGCGGGGTGGGGGCCGCGAAGTCACCTTTAGCCGGTTCAGCTGGTCGTGCAGTGCCGCCTTCAACCGGAGCAGCGTCTCCTCTTCCTTGCGCAGCTCCTGAAGCCGGCTCAGCATCGCGTCTCCTCACGCGTCTCCTCCCGCGCCCTCCACGCCACCCAGTCGCTGGATGATGACGCCACGACCTCCACGTTACCGGAAATGGAAGTGAACTGGGCCGGCCTAGTGGCACGTGAGACAGGGCACTTCCTGCCCCCTCCTCTGCGGGCGAGACTCGGGTTTTAAATCGAAACACCAACTCGAATAAGGATCAGGATTCCTAAAGCACAGTGCGTTGGAGCCGTAATGCGCCTGGAGATCAAAATGGTCAGGTATCGAGTTTCAAATGCTTGTTGAACAAGAGGCTATTTTAATGCCACAAAACGTGCAGACGCATTTGAAGGCAGGGACAAACGTCACCAGCATTTAGCACATATACCCTACTGGTGTTTGTAGGCAAAGGATTCCCGGCCACAAGAAAGCGTTTCCCAGAAGTCCGCGCAAATTAGAGAATAGAGCAGTGCTAACAAATTGGATTGGGAGATGGTGCCAGAGTTCGGTAACAGAGAGCTCTAGAATCTACAAATGGGGCTATACATCACCCTGTGGACTGCCAATGTGGGGGAGGGGAGTATCAAGATCCTGACATGGGACAAGAGTAGACAACAGGTCAACTCCAGGGCGACAAGAACCTTTGTGGGCACATTACTCTGCATCGTGCCTGGTCAATATATTCTTCCCTAGTTAAAACTAGAAGCTACAAAAGTGGTTGTGAAAAATGCTTCTGGCATTCTTTCAGGGGCCAAAACATTGAGGGTGGCAAACACTTCCTCCAACAGCAGCTCTGCCACAGGTAGTAAAAAAAAAAAAATTTCTCTGAAGGAACTGCCTTTACTGCTGCACCTCACAATATGTATTATACGACTCTGCCCTCTTGTGGCTACTTTAAATGTCAAATCTTGATGGAACTTTCCAAAGTTTTTTTGGGGGGGGAGGAGGCTAAATTCTAAGAGCTTCTGTATATTTTTGAGACAAGTCTTTTAATCATCTTTCTCAAGACATTACCATATTTTGCTGTGTATAATGTGCACTTTTGTACCCAAGTTTATGAGTGGAAAATAAGGATGCACATTGTACATGGGTAGCGCTAATTCTGTTTTCCTGAAAACTTGGGCCAAAAACATAGCAGAGCATTATACAAGGCAATGTATGTATGGTACTTAGAAAATGGATTTTATATCTGGATTTATGAAGCATCCCTTTCCATTCAACAGCACGGATTTAGTATAAATGTAATGCTCCACTTTATACCGGACAAATGATTCACACAACACATCCAACAAATCATGTTTCTCCCTGGTTCTCTGATCAGGCTTTTATTCAAAGTTAGCTGTCCCAAGTGATTTGACCTCTTTGGAATAAACAAATTTAAGTTTATGCCACAGGCTTCTTTTCTTCTGTGGTGGGTTTCTTTTCCGCAGGTTTCTTCTCAGCTGCTGGTTTCTTGGTAGCTGCAGCCTTTTTTCCCACCAAAGGCTTCTTCTGCTTCGTAACGCCAATTGCCTTCTTTCCTTTCTTCCCTACCGCTGGCTTCTTGCCTGGGACCCCCTTTTCACCTGATTTGGCTTCTAGAGCTGCTGCTGCTTTATCCACCCGGAGCTTGTGCTGCAACAAATTAGGAAGAAAATCTAAGAATCAAATCTTCTAAAAATTTAACATATCAGCAAAAACCAAATTATCACTTACATTCTTGGCCTGGCGAAGAATGGTGTTCCGGCGCATGGTCTTTGCATATGGGTTTAACTTCAACATGATTCTCAGGTTTTTCAGTGGATTCTTTTTCAGGACTCTGCGATGAATCTTCTTGCTATAAAAAGGTAGACACTGTAGTGAGTAACATCCACATTTAAAAAATAACCCATTATATGAGGTTGGGGCAGGAATTACTGTAAATATCACACAACTTTACCGTGGTGCTCGGAGGGCTCTTTGAATCTCTGGGCTTTTCAAAATCCTGCTAAGGTCTGTATTAAGCATCTTGTGCATGGGAAGGCTGAAAGAAAAACAAAGAAAATGTTGACAATTGATGCTCAATTCTTATTTCTCATGTGATTGAAGAATACGAACCTCAACAGAAGACATGTAAATATCCACAGTATAAGCATCTATGGTTAATATGTGAATATGAAGAATACTTACTTGTAGTTACTCTTGAGGGAGGCAGCTTTACGCCAAGTGCCATACAGCTCATCTAACTTGCGGAAAGCACTTTCAGTCCAAATGCAGAAACGGCCCACATGTCCACCAGGAGCAAGTTTCAAAATGTTCAGTTTGCTTACATTAAGCAGAGTAATTCCTTTTAAAGGACAAGAGAATTAGGGTGCATGTATTTTAACAGAAGAAACAAATCATCTTTACTGCTTAGTTCTCATAATTAATGAAAACTATCATTAATTATGCAGTTTCAACCATTAATGGTACACGCAAGTCACCCAAGAATCAGAAGTTCCAAAAAATCATGTGTTTCAGAAACACGGACCATTAAATGGAATCTCATCATAATAAAAAGCTGGGTAAGCTTGCATAGTATAGGCAATCAAAACACGTAGGCAATCTAAGAATTACCAGGAATGTTTCTGAAGGCTTTGATGATGCCATTGTCCTCATTATAGATAATGCAAGGTCCCTTGCGCTGGATACGACGACGGTTTCTCATTTTGCCCTTGCCAGCTCTCATTCGCTGAGAGGCATAGACCTACAACATGAGAAGATTTAGTATTTGATTAAGATGATCCCTGTAATAGATCGTCCTAGTTAAAAACAAACAAACCCATTTTACAGATGATTCAACAAGACAGAAATGACTTGCCTAAAATTAAAACACAGCCATCAATAGCAGTCAGGATTCAAATTCAAGTAGTTATGTGCTGTTTGACATTTTGGTCGATGGACTGCATATAGACAGTGGTATACCACATAGCCTAGGTGTGCAAGTTATACCACCCAGGTTTGTGTATGTACACTCTTTATGTCCGCACAACAACAAAATCGCTTAACAATGCATTTCTCAGAACATATCCCCATTGTTAAACAGTGTAATGGATCCAGAGTCTCTGCTCATATCCACTAAGGTTAATAAATATGTTCTTCAATAATATTCAGAAAATTAAATTCTCAATTTGTGAAAGACTACCAAACTGTTAATGTGTCCAGTAAACCTACCTTTTTTATATCATTCCAGGCCTTAAGCTTCTTAAGAAGCAAAACAGCCTCCTTGGTCTTCTTGTAGCCTTCAACTTTATCTTCAACCACCAAAGGAAGTTCAGGAACTTCCTCAATACGATGACCTGATAAAGCCAATTAACACTGACCTGGTTACCCTGAACTTTTTGAGAAACATTTGCTATAATCCACAAAAGCAAAATGGTATACAACTTGCCAAATCAGAACTTCCACAAATATCATGTGTTTCAGAAACACGGACCAATGAAGTGGAATCTCATCATTTTGACAGTTACATAAAAAGAATAGGCAACATGATGATGTTGTAACTGGAAGTTTTCTAATATACCAAATCACCGTATTTGAATTACTTCTCCGGTTACCTAATATTCACTGATGACTGATTTGTTAGATTCAAACAGTCACAACTATATAGAAAGAAATTTGTGTACTCTGGGATGAATAGAATTTACACGGCTATTATTAACACTAATGTAAAGTTCATGTGAAAGGAAACAAAATGTGTATTTTATACCAGTCCTGTAATACAAAATATCACAAACCTTTAGACATGACCAGCGCTGGTAAGGCCGAGGCAGCCAAGGCAGAGCAGATGGCGTATCTCTTCTGTGTTGTGTTTACTCTGCGGTGCCAACGACGCCAGGTTTTGGTTGGTGCAAACATGCGGCCTCCACGACACATCTATTTCCCCGTTAAGAATCACATTTCTCCAATGTTAGGAATTTAAAAAGGTTATCATCTTGCTCAGTAAGAATTTTCGTCACCTTTCTGAACCAGCTTACTGACAGCAGGCAACTGTCGCTGAGAACAGAGTCTAAGACGCAAATTACGACATCATTGCAAGCAAAACTTCCTAATGTCAAGCTCCTGTTGTCTTTAATATTTGACAATATTTTCCAGATTCCAAATCTGTCTAGAGCAACCTGGAAACTATTAAGTGTTTTGAACACAAACATTTTCAAATTACTAACATGAACAAATCAGGTCCTTTCTGCTAAATTCCATGATTCCGACCAATTTAGGTTGCGATGCAAAGGATACATTGCCAAAGGCACCCTGGCCAGAACGATGAGTCCCACCACCTCGAACTCTGGGAATTCGAGCCACAGCTCTGCCAGTACCCCAAGACTCAGCACTGGTTTGATGACCTGAAATTGGAATAAGTACAAGTTTCAGTTACCCAACCATACCAATGCGACTATTATATATGATAGCAAACAGCATCAGAACATCCAGGAAAATCATCTTATTCAGAAACACGGACCAATGGAGTGGAATTTCATCACTGCTGTTAAGCAGCTCTTAAATATAAACATGAAAAATCTAAATTCATACCTGCTAATTCACTGACAGCATAGGGCTGTCTATTGTTTTTGCGCAAGTTGGTGTGAACAAAGTTCACAATATCCGGTCGAATGGGGGCCTTGAACACAGCAGGCAAAGTGACATTTTTGCCAGATGATTCCCCCTTTTCGGAGTACACCGATATCAGTGGACGAGCACACGCCTGGGAAAAAGAAAGATACTTATATTGATTGACAAGCAATGTCAGAGGCACTCTTCTCATGTGCCAACAATACCATTATACATTCAGTTACAAAAGACTACAGAATTTGGTGAGGCTGACAATGCGTAAAGCTAAAACAAAGGCTAAGTTACCAACACATCATGTCTATTAATATCAATTCTTATACTGGAAAGACACTTAGAATCAAATTCTGCCACAGAATTTTATTTTCAAAGAGAATGGTTCATCATTAAACTTTCAAACCAGGGCTTACAAAGCAAAATGATCAAAACCATGCTGTCAAGTTTGAAAATGCTGTTTAAAGCCACTATCTGAACTCTTTTACTCCAAATGTCAACAAATCTTGCCTACCACAGCACTACTGCCAACATCCATCCTTGCCCCCTCCATCCCATTGTAAACACATCTTCTAAAACTTACTAGTAAAAACATGTTAATTTTTGCTCAGCCTTCTCCAAAAATCACCTGAAAGTAAAACTTAGTCCCCAGGATGGCCTACCCAATCTGCTGAATCTCATCTCCCATACTCTCTCTTCCTACACACAGGGCCATCCACCCCCCGAGGTACCCCATCTTCTCCTGAAAGATACTTAGCATGCTTCCTCATCTCCTTCAGGCCACCTTCTGTAAGTTTCCTTGATCACTCTGTTTAAAACCCAACTACTACCTCCTCAGCTGCAGCCTTTTTTCCCCACCAAAGGCTTTTTCTGCTTAAAGCACTGTTTCAGGCCCAAATGCCTCCTTTTCCAATTCTGTATGTCCACAGCAGCCACTACTGCCGAACATTACTATGTATTTTACCTAACTCAATTACGATCCAAGCATAGTTTACCTGTTTTGTTCACTGAACTCCCAATGTCCCAGAACACTACACACCACACATACAGACACTACTTGTGGAAGTGCACTACGTTTAACATTAGCCACACGATGAGCTGGCTGAGCGTTAAAAAACTTACGGTCCATCAAACAGAAAAATTAATCTTTAAAGGGGACCAGAAAGCTTTTTATAATGGAGATGCTTAAGGTGAACACACCAAAATTTTAAAAAAGGGGAGAAACAAATTCCTCTTTAAGGAAGTCTCTCTCAAAATAAGGAATACTCTTTACTAATCAGCACATGGAAATAAAAGGCCCTTAAGTTTCCTTTCACCACGATTGTCTTAGGCCCCAAGAAAGTGCAAATCTCCAGTATAGCCCATGCCTTCTAAGATCAAGGAAAAATTAGAATGCCAAAGGTCCCTCTGCGCCTAAGAACGATCGGGTGTCCTCCTGTGGCTTCCAGGCGCGCCCTGGGCCGGGACTCCCACGTTGCCTCTAAGATGGCTGCCGTATAGCCGCATTACCCAGCTCCCAGCAACAGAGGCTTTTGGTCCTCATCTCCTTTTCCTCGATTTTTCTCCTTCAGACTTTATGCCCTGAACCCCAACCCATTCCTGCCAAGCCCGACAGCAGGGACAAGTCCAGCCAAGAAAACGTTCACTCACCATGGCGGGCAGAGGAGACCTGCACGCTCCTCTCAACCCGGTGGCTCCCACAGGAAAAGGAAGTGCTTAGCACTCCCGCGTTCTATATGTAACCTTCAACTCGTCCCCTACCCTGCCCCGCCTCAGAACTAATCCAGAGACATAAAAATACCTCTCTACCACGCTAAAAAAATTAAAAATTGCGTTTTGTCTCTTCATATGTATCAAATTACGGTGTCTATCGACTTCCAAGGCCAACAATAGCGACTAGAAACGAAGGACTCCTTTTCGCGGAATAATTCATAAGTAGGCGTGGCCAACTCTCGCGAGACGAGGTGTCTATTTCCACTACTGTAATGTATTTTTACTTTTTCTTACTGAAATGGAAAATGATTGGGACAGGAAAAATCGCTGTGTGCTCTAAAACAAAAGTTTAATTTGCGGACAAACGGGACCCCTGTTGGGGGAGGGTAAAAGTAGTCCCGGCGGGAAGGGTCATGACTCCGGACGTCAGCGACCGGCGCGCAGTTCAGTTTGGCGGTTTAGCGTCTGCTGTGAGGGCGAAGCGGGATGTGGTCGCGAATGAATCGAGCCGCTGAGGAGTTTTACACGCGTCTCCTGCAGTAAGTTGTAGCCCCTGCTGTTGTCTAGGATGCGAGGACATCATTACTCCCTCGGGGTATCTCAGTTCTCCCCCTCCCACCCCCAAGCCTCTTGCTGCAGCCTTGAGGATTAATGCCTGTCAGTTCTCTGCGGCGCGTACTTGAAAGACTAAGTCAGCTTTCCTGGGGTCCGGGAGTTAGGAAGAGGCCGGTTATCTGCTCCAGTGTGGGGCTGGCCCTGTGAGGGCTTGGTTGTAGTCTAGTTTAGGAGAAAATATCTGCACGTTATCAATCGAAGCGGAAGGTGACAAGTTTTCCAAGGAACATTTTATTCATTCTGATACTGCATACAACTTACAGTACGTTAGCGGCACCTTCCAGGATATGGAAAACTTGATGTTGGCATTCTTCACTTGTTTAAAGCCTTGCTGGTGTGAAACGTATTATACTATAGCCTATTCGAGATAGTTATCCTATGAGCTACAGTTGTAATGGTAACGTGATGGTGTGGTGGCTTTTTAAAGCACCTTTATTTCACTGTGCTCTAAGACTTCATTTTATTCGTGCAGTGACTTACTAGCACCAAAGAGGATTCCATCTATCGATAGTTCTGCATCCAATGTAAAAATCGAATCCAGCAGTTCTCAAATATGAGTGTGCATCAGAATTACTAGGAGAGTAGTCAAAACACAGGTTGCTGGGCCCCACCTCTCGGGTTTCTAATTATTAGGTCTGGGAGTGGGGGGCAAAGAATTTGCCTTTCTAACAAATTACAGGTGAAGCAGATGCTGCTGGCCTGACACCACACTTTGCAAACCACTGATGTAATCTAACTCCTTATTTTCTAAATGCCATTTAACTTTTCATTGTTTATCTTTATTGCTTTTTTCCCCTGCTTACAAAAGTGGTAATTCTTGTCAGTGTTTTGATCATTGTAGAAGGAGCAATAGCTTTTTTAAACAATGCCTTGGATAGCTTTCAATATGAGAGCCTATAGATCTGCCTTATTGTTTTTATTAACTGCTATATATTTCATTCTATGGCTTGAGAAATGTACACATGATTGCTGAATGATTGATTGAATAACATCCCTAAGTTATACATAAAAGACAAACATCTTTAAGAATAAGTCACAACCTTTTTCCAAAATGGCAAAAGTGAACCAATCAGTCACAGGCCTATCGCTTATATTTTTATTTCAGTAAGTCATAGAGGAGTAGAACAAATAATAAATGGTATCCTGACACAGTTTCATTGGATTCCTTAGGACTAAAATTCTTTCCTCTTTTAGTGTAGATCAGACTGATGTGCGTTTTGGTATGTTAATGGCTTATAGTTGACATGCTTTGGGATCACTTTCAAAATTTTCTTGACTGAAATGACAATTATTAAATGATATCCTAGACTTTTGTTTTTACATTTTTAAAAGGAAATTATTTAACATTGTCAAATTTACTAATTTTTTAGTAACAGCTCATAAAAGTGGAGGGAGGATAGATGCTTCCATTTTAGCCATAGAAATCTATGGGGCTCCTGGGACCCTCAAATAACTTCTCTGTGGTTGCTCACTGATTCAGTGGCAGATCAAAATCCAGTCATTTTTTTCTTTCCAAAAGTTATGTAGTAAATTACATTTTAATAGTAGCTGGTAATGTGTTTTAGAAGATATAAGAGTAGAAGTAGGTACTCTAATTTCCTGCTGCCTCTGAGAAGCAGTTGTACCCAGTTGTGGGCAGTGGTCTATTAATCTCTACCACATCTATTTATTCCCTTTTCTTCTTAACCTAATACTCTTTTTCTGCTTCTTTTCCCCTCTCTTCCCAACTATGCCTGAGGGCTGCCTTGACTACTTTGCACTTTGCTTTTCTCACTTGTATCTCTCGCACAGATGAAGTGATGATTAACTCCTGAGTTTAAATGATAGAATACTATGTCTCTGTTTTTCATATGTGGTTCTGCATTTCAGGGAAGTTGATGAAGAAAAGAAAGGAATCTGTAAAGATCCTTTTATCTATGAGGTATGAAAAACTTGTTTGTTTGTTTTTAAACATGATTCAGTAATCCTAAAATTGTGAGTTTTTAAAAGTTGGGTTTATTGAAGTTAATTTACACAGAGTAAATTTCACCCTTTTAGAGTTCAGTTCTATGAGTTTTTACAGATTCATCCAGTCGTATAACCACTCGCATAACCAAGATATAGAACATTTCCATCACCTCCAAAAATCTCCCCATGTTCCTTTATAGTCAACCCTTTCCCCTACTCCCAGCCCCTGGCAACCACTAATCTGTTTTCTGTCTGTTTTATGTGTCCTGTTTTGCCTTTTCCAGAATGTCATATAAATAAAATCAATGAGATATTTTGAGGTTTTTTCCCCCAAATTATCATGTAGTATGTAGCCTTTTGGGTCTGGCTTCTATCAATGAGTATAATGCATTTCAGATTCATCTGTGTTGTTGTTATGTATCAGTAGTTCCTTCCTTTTTATTGCTGAATAGTATTCCATTGTACGGATGCACTGTAACTTGGTTATCATTCACCAGTTGATGGACACTTGGATTGTTTCCCGTTTTTGATAGTTATGAATAAAGTTGCTATAAACATTTGTGGATTTATTAAACATCTAACATATACCAACTGTTCCATAGATAAACTCCCCATAGAGTTAAATCCATAAAATAATTGAATAAAGTAAATTATATACAAAAAGACTAATAACCTATGGAGAAATAGTCATAAATGATAGCATAATATCCATACATATAAAATATATAAAAAGCTCTTTAAAATCAATAAGAAAAAAGATAGCCATAATAGAAGGACACAAATAAGTAATCACAGAAAGAAAAATACAAATATAGTTATCTTTTACTATTTGAATTCTCACTAATCGAACTCAGGAATCAAGTATATCCAGGTAAATGTATTAATCCCTCCCTATCTGAATTCTTGCCACATGATGCCTGTATTAGTTTCCTAGCACTACTGTTACAAAGTACCACGAATTGGTTTGCTTAAAACATCAGAAATTTATTCTTGCACCGTTCTGAAGACTAGGAGTCTGAAATCAAGGTGTCCACAGGGCCTTGTTCCCACTGAAGGCTCTGGGAAAGGATCCTTCCTTGCCTTCTCCTAGCTTCTGATGGTTTCCAACGATCCTTGGTGTTTCTTGGTTTATAGACACATGTTAATCTCTGCCTTTGTCAACACCTGACCTTTTCCCTATATGCCTGTTTCTCTAAATCTCTCCTTATAAGTACACCAGTCATTGGGTTTGGGACCCTGACTCCGTTAATCCAAGTTAATCCTCATCTTGATTACTTTTGCAAACACCCTATTTCCAAATAAAGTCACATTCAGAGGAACCAGGGGTTAGGATTTCAACATATCTTTTGAGGGGGACATAATTCAACCCACAACAGTATTTGAAACTGAAGAACCTAGTAGAATAACACAGCATTCTTTGTTCTCTGAACTTGGTATCTAAATGCTTCAGTAGCCAAAATGAGAAATTAAATAGATTTAAATAATGAGAAATTTGTCAATAATAAACATATTTGAAAGTGTTTACCTTCACTAGTGATCAAATGAAAATTAATACTATTTTTTGCTATGAGATGATAAAAATAATGAAAATGCTCAGTGTGTTGACATAAGTGATGGGAATGCAAATATGTGGGTATGATATATTTAAAAGGCAATTTGACACTATCAATATTATTTATATATTCACCTTAAGAAAGTAATTCAAGATGTCCATTATTAATTGTTTATTATGACATATAAATTGAAACTACCTAAATGTCGAACAATGTGGAGTTAATTATGTTAGAGACACGGTACTACACAACCAAAGAACATTTCATGGCATGGAAAGTTCATGATATAAAACTATCAGAGGGCTGGCCGAGTGGCTCAGTTGGTTAAGAGCGGAAGCTCTGAACAACTGGGTTGCCAGTTCGATTCCCACATGGACCAGTGAGCTGCACCAGAGCAGAGCTGCCGCTGAGCTGGTGAGAGCGCATGCTCTTAGCAGCAAGGTTGCTGGTTTGACTCCCATATGGGATGGTGGGCTGTGCCCCCTCACAACTAGATTGAAAGTGGCAACTGGACTTGGAGCTGAGCTTGCGCCCTCCACAACTAAGATCGAAGGACAACAACTTGATTTGGAGCTGATGGGTCCTGGAAAAACACAATGTTCCCCTTCCCCAATTTCCCAATAAAAACCTTAAAAAAACCCAAAAACTGGGCTGGCCGAGTGCCACATTGGTTAAGAGCTGGCTTGGTACGCCAGAGGGCCCCGGTTTGGACACTGCCCTCTACAGCTAAGATGCTGAACAACAGCTCAACGTGGAGCTGGGCTGCCGTGAGACGCTGGCGACGGCATAGGCTGCAGCCCCTGCTGCAGTGGGTTGCTATGGGCTACCATGTGTAGCCAGCAGCCAGTGTGAGCAGCCCTCAAGCTGCTGTAAGCGGCCATCCAAAAGCCAGCGACTGATCTGCCTAGCCTAGGAAGAGCACAATGATGGTGCCAACTTGGCCAGTGAAGCAACATCCTCCACAACTAGACTGAAGAACAAAAAGACAGCACCTTGTCTGTTCCCCTTCCCCCAATTCCCCAATAAAAATCTTTAAAAGAAAAAACCAAAAACTACTAGAATATCCTATTTTATTAAGCAAAATCCTATCTAAATATTCTAAATAAGATACATTTTTTTAAAAGATTTTTATTGGGGAATTGGGGGGATGGGAACAGTGCTGGGGAATTGGGGAAAGGGGAACAGACAAGTTGCTGTCGTTTTGCTCCTCAATCTA